AATAATTAGAATAACCCTAAAATAGTGATTTGACTAAAAAATAATAATAACAATAATAAATACTAAAAATACCCTTAATTTATAAATAACCATAATAATACTAACTTTAATAAGGATAAAAATAATTAAAATTATAATAATACTGAATAATGATAAATAGGTAAATTAAGACTTAAAATAGTAAACTAATCATATAAATAGCATATAATAATATTTAAAATAATATTTGTTAAAATAATCTTAGTAATATGAAATAATAATTAAAATAAATACATCATTTTACTGTTTTTAAAACAACACCAAATATATTTATTTTTTTTAAATAAGAATAATTTTAAACTAAAGAGGACAAAAATACGCTCGAAACGAGGTATTGTGCGTCGAAAATGGATCAAAAATGGATTTTCTACTAATTTTGGAAGGAATCTGATAAAAAAAGCATTTAAAAAACTAATTTTTAATTAAAAATCGGTGGTGGGACCCGGGGACGACATGTGGCGCGGGCGGATTGGATCCACGGGTTCGGGAAGACGGCGCACCAATCATGGGAAATGATTGGCGCCACCACCAATGATTGTGCATGATTGCACAATCATGTGATGACGGCTCGTCACTAATCCACGTCGGACGGTCACACGGACCGTCCGATCCTCCGCTGTCCGAGATGAGTGGTCCAGATGGAGCCGCACGGGAGCATTAACAGCGGGATCTAGCCCCGCGGTCGATCCAGGCCACAGAATGGCTGGATCACGACTGTTGATCGATAAATCAACGGTCAGGCTCTCCTCAGGCGAACAGAGCTCGACGTCCGAAACCCTAAATCATTTTTCTTTGATTTCTCTCGATCTAATGGATGTAATTGCATGAAATTTTAAACAAATCTTCTACTCATGAACAGAAACCATAGGGGATATTTTTCAAGATCTAAAACTTAGTATTTACGAACCTAATTAACCTTAAGTGTTTCTAACTAGGCTTGAGGATTTCACCTTGATGAATGGACGGTTTGGACCATATAAGAGCTTGTTGAACTTGTAGATTGTCCACGAATCCTTTCTTAGTTGATGTCGATCCTCGAAACGCCCTCGATTGACCGCGAAACAACTTGGAAGGGATTTAGCTTCGGTTTGCCGGAGCTCTCGTCGCCGGTGGCCTGAGATCATCGGGATTTGATTGAGGTAGGTGTGGAAAAGTCCCAAGAGCTCTCCAAAGAAAGTTCTCAGGCTTAGGGGGGCTAGGGCTCAAAAATTTGGAAAAGGATCCTAAATAAGACCTAATTTTCTCTATTTAAAGCACTAGGGTTAAGATCAACGGCCAAGATCAATTCTCTGATCAATTGGGAGGGAAAAATATCAAGATTTGGTCGTGATTTAAATTTTGAAACGTTTGGAGGCTTTAATTGCAATAAAGGGCCTTAAATCCACCTTAAATGGGTTGATTTAACCCATTAAGGGCTTGCTTTGACCAAGTCAGAGTTTGACTTGGTCAAACCAGTCAATGGGGTCAAAGGAATTAGGGGAGCAAGCCATGCATGAGGTTAGATTGATTTGAATTAGAATTGGGCTCTTAATGGGCCTTAATGGGTCAAAATGACCCATTAAGGCTTGTATTGACTAAGTCAAAGTTTGACTTGGTCAATTTTGCCTATTTATACCCATTAAGTGATATGGATGAGTTTAAGGAGGCCTTGCATTGATTTGAAATCAAATTGGGTTCAAAAGGCCTTAATGGGTCAATTTGGGTCAACCAGGTTGACCCAGGTCCTGGGTCTGGGCTCAACAGACTCAGTTTGACCCACTGAATTGATTAGGAGTGACATTGGACTTCTAGAGCCAAGGATTTGACAAAATTGAGGTCAATAGTAAGACCTATTCGAGGTTGTATGTCGGAGCCTTTGCTCGACGACGTTAACTTGTATGGAAGAGGTCGAGAGAATCCACCAAGAATGTAAGACCTATCCGATGTTATATATAAGAGCCTTTGCTCGATGACATTAACCTGTGTGGAAGAGGTCGAGAGAATCCACCAAGGATGTAAGACCTATCTGAGGTTGTATGTCAGAGCCTTGCTCGATGACGTTAACCTGTATGTAAGATGTCGAGATAATCAACCAAAGATGTAAGACCTATTCGAAGTTGTATGTTGGAGCCTTTGCTCAACGACGTTAACCTATATGGAAGAGGTCGAGAGAATCCCCTTAGGATGTAAGACATATCCGAGGTTGTATGTCAGAGCCTTTGCTCGACGACGTTAACATGTATAGAAGAGGTCGAATCAAAGCCCCCTAGGATCGATTTTGTCTTGATTGGGAGGGGACGAACACCATGTGTATCCCAAATCAAAGGTGAAGAAGGGTCTGTCTTTAGACCGTTACTGCCTTTTTGAGGTTAAGATTAAGATCTTGCCCAAAGAGTAGAAGTCCAATAATGGACTGTATAAAGATTGCAATTGATTGGAAGTATCCTTGCATTTGCTGGTATTTTCTTAAAATATCATCTTGATATTAAAAATAATGGAGATATTTTCTTGACCATAATTAGGGTCAAAGTTGCCCCCCAGTTCGAATCTAATTTTCATGAAATTAATGCACCAATAGTTGATGTCAAATGAACGATCTTTTGAGGTTGGGGCAAAAATTGCCCACCAGTTGGGAACCACGTTCCCACAGATGGAGCCAAACTGTTGCGTCTTGGAGTATTCGTGGTGGTAGAGAAATATAAAGTTTAACGTCTTAGCATTGTACGAAAATTTGGCACGCAAATAGATAAGAGAGAGGGTGTGTCATCCACTAGAGACAACAAGATTTTTAAGTGGAAAACCCCTAAAAAGAGGAAAAAAACCACAGGGCCTAGCCCAGTTTAAATGAATCCACTAGTATTGTAGTTGATTACAAATGAGGTCCTTCATCAGGGGAAGGCCTTAGCTTGATGTACATCTTATAAAGTACATTACATTGGTGAGAATACATAGCATTTTTATTGATGTGTTTGTTTGGTCTGAAAGACAGTAGTCGGTGGACGACATAAGTTAGAAAGACCGTAGTCGGCAAGCGACAGAGGTCGGAAGAAATGTAGTCGGTGGGCGACGTAAGTTGGAAGGACCGTTGTCGGCGGGCGATGTAGGCCAGAAGGACTATAGTTGGCAGGCGACGTTAGTCAGAATGACCGTTGTCGGTAGGTGACGGAGGCTAGAAGGACTGTAGTCGACGGGCGATGTAAGTCAGAAGAACCGTTGTTAGTGGGCGATGGAGGCCAGAAGGATGACGTCAGGTAGAAATCCATCAACGGACATAAATCCAACATTAGATAGATGTCAGGCAAAAATCTGACAACAGGTAGAAGTCCGACATCGAGTAGAAACTTGGCGACAAGTGGAGTTCCAACGTCGGGTTGAAATCCGACGTTAGTTGGCGGCCGGGGAAAACTCCTGCGTTGGATGGTATTATGGCAAAACTCTAGAAACACTTAGAAATCGGACAGAACTCCAGCGTCACTTGGAGGTCAGACGGAATTCTGGTGTCACTTGGAGGACGGGCCGAATTCCGGCGTCACTTGGAGTTCGGGTGAAACTCCAGTGTCACTTGAACGTCGGGAATAATTCTGGCGTTGCTTGAACGTCGAGCAAAACTATGGCGTCGGGCATAATTTCGGCGACGGTGGTCGAGGAGGAGTTTCTTCCCTCCTATCCTTCTCTTATTCTTCTTCTTCTTCTTCTTCTCTTCCTCTTCCTTTTGCTTGGGCCTTCTCTCAAGAGAAACGAGGAGTATATTTATAGATTTTTTGGAGTGGCATGATCCGTAACTAGATGAGAGATCAGGGGAAAATACGTGGTTCAGATGAACGGCCGATATTGAATCCTTCGATTGTGGACCATTTATTAGATATTTGAAGGTGTTAATGACTTCGAAATTTAGCGAACTTGGGCTCATTGGATTCATCTCGTCGAGCCTCTAGATTCGAGCATAAGCACGTCATGTTTCGAAACCGTTTGGTAACCCAAATTGTGGTTCAAACCTTTCAACAGTGCTTCGGGTCCTTGATTTTGACTCATTTGAGCTCCAATTGAGTTAAATTCGGTGTCGTTGGGTTTGTATTTATGAGACGCTCAGTTTGACTATAAGTTTGCTGAAATTGGAGTTCAGATGATCCCAGATTTAATTTTTGAAGTTTCCAACTTGATTTCTGCCTCGAGATTCGTGCCCGATCAAGATAAATTCTTGATGACATATCAAAGATAATTAGCAAATTATTAGATTAGATTATATACAATTTTATTATCATCAAACTACTAATTAGCCATATAAAATTCATAAGACTTATGGGGTCAACAACATATAATAAATAATTTTTTTTAAGTTATACGAAATTCATAAGTCCTGCAACTAATTGTAAACTTATGAACAAATTTTTAAATATATAAATATTAATATTTTAAATGTTATTCATGTGAATCCTCTTTTTTGTTTTTTATTTGAGTATCCAACCAAATGTTCTTAGGGGCTGTTTGATTGACTAAAAAGGAGTTGCAATGTAAAAAGAATGCAGTGTAAAATGAATAATTTTAAATTGTTTGGATAAGATTAAAAAAATTTAGATGAATTATTTTTTTAGTTGGTTTGAAGTAAAATGAATATAGTGTAAAGTTTAAAAATGACGAGCTGCGGCAGAGAGTGGTGACAGTGGTGGTGGTCGACGACCGAATTGTTGCGGCGGTCGGAGGATGACGATGGTGGTTGTCCTCGGTGATGGTGGTCTACACCGACGGATGAGATGACCGACGGTGGTGGCCTGAAACTAGTGGAGATGGGCGACGATAGTGGTCGATGACAATAAATAGGGATAAAAAAAACTTACTTACAATTTATAAAATAATTCACACTATATTTATTTTATTTTAATTTAAATTTATTTTCCATCCAACCGAGTATCAAAATTTTAACCCCTAAAGTCGAAATACTTTGCACCACCGCTCAATAATATTTCTTAGACGCACAACTGGTTCACATTTTCTTTATTTTTCCTAAACAAAACCTTTGTTAATGGCACTGCGCCTCTTTACCTCACCCATCCTTCTATCTCCGCATCGTCCCTTCGTCCAGCCTCGGCACACCGCCCATGATGGCGGCGGCGGCCTCTATCTGTCTCTAAGGCGCCGTCCGCCGCCCACGCTCACGGTGCTTCCATTCCCCAGCGCTAGCGGACTAAACGCGGAATGCTCCTCTCAAGATACGGTTGTTTTCGTCTCCGATGTCGATCCTCCTGAAGCTCCCGCCGCCATCGATGCCTTTGAAGGTGAGCTGGACTCAGGTCAGTTGACAATCTTGCAGCAGATGAAGGATATCGTTATGTTTGCAGGCCCCGCCACGGGGCTTTGGATTTCTGGGCCTCTTATGAGCCTCATTGACACCATGGTCATCGGTCAAGGGAGCTCTCTCGAGCTTGCCGCGTTGGGTCCGTGGTTATTCTTTTTATGTCATTGATTTTAGTGGCTCTTGTATTCTTGTATTTCCCTTTGTTCTCGAGCTATTGTTTTGTGGTTTCAGGTCCTGGTACTGTTTTTTTGGACAATCTAAGTTACATATTTATGTTCCTCTCAATATCAACTTCCAACTTGGTGGCTACTTCCCTTGCTAAAAAGGTTTGATTCTTGTTTCTGTTCTCAAATCTCAACTCTACATTGCATGCTGGAAGATTGAAGTTATGATTCCAATGTTTGGTTTATTATTCTTTTGTTTTAGTTAGTGCTTTCATTTCTTTTGGAGTTGGTTGAGGTGCTCATGATATAATCACGCTGCTTTTTTAAGAGTCCTAGTATTATTATTATTATTATTTAAATTCTATTGTGTTGTACAATCTGCTGTCTCTATTTTGTTGGAATTTGCTGCAATTTGTCTGTGCGGCGGAGTACCGGAAGCTATGCCACCCTTCTTGTGATGGAAGCGAACCTTCAACCTTTTTCTCTCTTTTGGAGAAGGCAGAGAACCTCAGTTCCTTTTTCTCCCTCCTTGAGAAGGTAGAGAAGCTCAACGCCTTTTTCGCCCTCCTCGACAAGGCAGAGAACAACAACTCCTTTTTGCCGCTCCTGAACAAGATAGTGAACCTAGAGGACTTGACTTTGAAGCCTCTCTCCCAAGAGAAACTTCAAGGACTCACCAGGCCACAAGAGAAATCAAGGTGCAAGCTAGCTTGAAGCAATTATGTGAACCCCTCACACTACTTCACCATCATGCTCAACCTCACCTTATTCTTCCTCTCTCACCCAAGAGCTCTCAAGAAACCTTCTCTCTTAGAGTTCCTTCAACAACAAACAACTCCTCTCTTCTTCCTAACAGATTATTAAAATATTGCTTAAGTATTGGTCCTAAAAAAATCCTTAAAATTTAAGTTAGCTAACTCTATTCATACAATATGATTTGTATTTGTTAAGTATGATCAGGTCAAGAATTAAACCTGTCCAATATGATGCAAACATTCATTCAGATGAACTATTCAAATTTTGTAAATATCTCGTATAGTGCAACCGTTAAGTCATTCAGTAGATTATTATCTCCTCACTTATTTTTCTAGTCAGATGTTGTTTGATGCCTACCAATGCCTGACATCTATCCGTCATTGTCGTTTTGACACTTCTCTTTTCAATCAATTGATCTCCTCTCTTATGAGAAGAACAACCAAGACCATTGTCGATCATCGTCTAACACTTGCCAAAAATTTGACGTCCTATGTTTTCTTGGTTTCCCTTTCATCCTTCCTATCGCGCTAATTATTAGTCCAACAATGATTCTCACTTTATCTCTAGTTCTGTTACCCATTGACGTTCGACACTTACCTTCCGAGTAGATCAATTTCTCTTATGGTAGAATGATCGAGCTGATCACTGACTGTCACTAGAATTCAACTGTTCCCTGTTGACCCTTGCTAGATAGCTTACATCTGTCAACCACCAATATTTGACGCATGTCCTCTTATCCGACCTCTCTCCCTTCTTATTATGAGAATGACCAATGCTCATTGCCACTCAATATTCTCTAATGATCGATATTTGACGTTCATCTAACATTGATGTTTGATGTCCATTTGCCATTGGTTTGTGGCACCTATCTTCTTGGTTGCTTAGTATGCCCTCTTATTTGGAGAATGACCGAGTAGAATGTTTATCATTGCTTGACTGCTAGCTATTGACATTTGATGCTTTCCTTATTGGTCACCTAGTCTCCTTTCCTGTCAAGATGACGATCGACTATACCTTCAATTGTCGCTCAATCATTAATGGTCCTTGTATACCATCATCCAATGCCAACCAATGTCCTCCTTTTGATGCCTGTCTTCCCAGTTGCTCAATCTTTGACCAAGCTGTTTTCCCATAATCGCCCAATGAAAATTTAGGCATGTTAAGACTCCTACTACCATTATATGAGACATCTTTTTCAGCAGCTGCCTATCATATTTTATTAATCTTTTCTACAATTATGGAGAATGACCCCTTTTTAATTTTTTATTCACATTATTGGAACTATTTCAATTGGGCTTGGTGTCATGGTTTTCCCCCTTTATTGGTTTTTCATGTAAAAGATCTTATTTTCTATTAACTGCTCTCAATTTATTTGTGTGCGAGTGAGATTTTCATTTAACAATAAAACTATAAATTCTCTCGATCATTGCAAATATTTTGGCACACAAAAATATTCATATGTATACCTATAAATAGGCACCATTGTACATTGAATAAATCATCCAATTTTCTTTACTGAACATATGCAAGCTTAAAAATATGCATTATGTGAAATAATAAATGAAAAGACATTAAAATGACTACAACAATTGTATGATTTATAATTTGGAGCTGCTTTTTTTTGTTGCCCTCCCATAGGTCCTCAAGGTAGGCGAGTTTATTATGGTGTTGGTGAGGATCAAACTCAAAAACTTGACAATAACTTCCGAGGTCTTTATCAATTGGAGTGGCTGGCAGCCACTAAATTAACACCATATTTGGGTGTTGATTTGATTGTTCTACATCAATAAATTTGTTATGGAATCTTGGGAGCTATGTAATACAATTGCAAAATACTTTTCCTCATATTAGAGATATTATATGATGCAAAATTTGAAGGAGTTATTGTAGAACATTTTCAAAATATACATCACCATACATTAAAGTTTTAAATCTGTCACATAAATTTAGCGCATTGATTAAACAAAAGAAAAGTGAATTTTTAAGTCTTATGTTATGTTACCATTTGAAGTTCAAGTTGAAATCTGATATTTATCAGAAGAGACAGGCAACCGGATTGGCTAGTGGAAGATTTCTGGAAAGTTTGGCTGAGAGTGTTTGTGAATTGAATGGATCAGGTCTAGGAGACCTAAAACTTAAAATGGAAGGCTGAGTGGCATCTTGCAAATGCTTTTGGGTTACAATAATTGGGTGATAATATTCTTTGGAAGTCTTAGAAGCATTCTAATGGACCTCTCATTTTTTATCAAAAGGCAGGCTATTAATGCAGCAAAGCTCCATTAATGATGATGGTCATATTGGTGGATCTATTTCAATTGGGCTAGCTCTTTTGATTTTTCAAATTCATAGATTTTCACATAAAAAATTTTGTGTTTACTATGAGTTCTCAATTTTGTAATTTTATTTAGTTACTTACATAATGCATTTTTCTTAAACTTGCATATGTTAAAAGAAAAAAAAATGTTTATTCGCAAAAGAGCGATGCCAATTTATAGGCATTCAGGATGAATATTATTGAATGCTAGAATTTTGAGATTGATTTTTTATCTTTTTTTGCTCACTCTAAAGTCCTCAGGAAGTTTATTATGGTGTAGGCAAACAACTCAGGACCTTTATCAATAAATAGGTTCTTGAATCTAGGGAGTTATATAAAACTATCCTAGAATCTTTTCCTTAGTATTAGATATATTATATGATACAATATTTGAAAGAGTTATTGTACAAAATTTTCAAATAATACATCACCAAACATTTAAGATTAAAATCTGTCACATAAATTTAGTGCATTCAAAATAAAAGAAAATTTAAGTCATATGTCATGTAGCAATCCGAAGTTAAAGTCGAAATGGGATCATTTTCAGAAGAGACTGGCAACCTTGAGTGGCTAATCAAAAGAAAGATTTCTGGAAGGACCAGCTGGAAGTATTTGTGAATTTGGACTAAGCAGGACTAGGAAACCCAAAAGTGGTAATGGATGGCTGAGAGACGTATTGCAAATTTTTCTCAATTTCATGTGTTGGGTGGTGTGCTTCTTCGAGAATCTCATAACCATACTGACGAACCTATTATTGAATATTAAAACGTAGGCTATCAATGATGCAAGGTCTGGGCTTTTCATAGTGATTAAGGTACCCATTATCCATTCGAGTGGCTTGTCGAACATTCTTTAGTTCTTTAGCTAGTTGTTTCCTATATCATGATGATGCGCCTGTTTAAGGCATTGCCTCGTTTCAGCCCTAGTGATGGGAGGTTCTTTAAAGCGTTCAATTTCAGAAGTGACACCTTGTATAGAACAATTGGAGGACATAAACTTCTAACATGCAAATCAAATACATGGAAGCCTAAAGACCATTCATCTTGTGTCAATCAAAGAAATCCTCAAATTTAACAAGCCCATCAAGGAAGACAATGGGATCATGGAGATGGCAAATAAAGGGATGTCGTTCTTCATTCACTTAAAACGATCATTATGATCAACTTGATGAGCCCAACCATTTTGATAACGCATGTGGCCATCTGGTTGGAATGGACAATTAATAAAAAATCATCCTGATATTCCTGGTAGTGATAATGGTAACAATGTTTCCTCTGTAGCTATGCATCGTATCTGATGATTTATAAACATTTTATCTTGTTTTACAGATCAGGAAATGAAACTATGACTTTTGTTACATTCATTTGTTATATTTCCTAAAAAAAATGTTAAATGTAGTATGATAACTTTGGTCCTTACTCTCATGAGTATGAGTTCTTTGGTAGTCCTAATTGTAAGTTTCTTTGTAATAAGATGCTCAGAGATATATACGTAGATGTACAATCACATTATTGCTTTGTTTCTCTAACTTCTTGTTATGCCTTTATATGATTCTATCGCAATAGCCATAGACTAATTTAATAAAAAATTCAGGACAATGCTTTGGCGCAAAATCAAATATCTATGCTGCTATTTATTGCATTTACTTCTGGCTTGGGAATGTTTCTATTCACAAAACTTTTTGGTTCGCAGATATTAACAGGTTAGTATTTTTTTAACTTTTTTTTAAAAAATGTCTATTGCTTTATATTCTAGTGGCTTTGATATGAATGTATTGATTTTTTTTTCACTGAAGTTCATAAGTTTTGGTGTGAACTTGTTATTTAAGGCAAATAATAGCTTGTGGTTAGGATGAACAAGAGGGAGAATGAGAGTGACGGTGAATGAAAATGTGAAAACCATCCATTGTGCTAGCAGTAGGAAGGCTTGGGGCAGGAGGGGAGCGGGTGGATGGATGCATTCTATCATTCTTAAATCTTATTTGTGGTTGAGACTTAGTGGGTCCACATTACAAATTTACCTTAAGCTGCTAGCATTTGAAGGCTTAAACAATCATAACAAATAATATGAAGTGTATTATCTCTATGCTTGTGCCTCTTCTTTTTTTTTTAACAGATAGAAATACCAGGGATTGCCTTTTATTCCTGGAACTATATACTTATTGTCAATGATTAAGCAATTCTCGAGCATGTTGAATATGTTATGTTGTTAAGGTGGTCTAGAAAATCCATTTGCCTTATATGCATATGTTCGATCAATGTTTCTATTCAAAAACTATGACAAAATATGAAAGAAAAAAAAATGAAGTGACAAAAATAATTTTTTAAATAAAGGTTTGGACTCTATAGCTTATTTGATTATAGACATCTTACGATATATTAATTGACTATGTTCATATTTCTATACTCTACTAGAAGAATACAATTTGACTCTTCATGATTGATGAGCGTGAAGAGTTCAGGGTTCTTGTTGTATTCAGCAAAAGGGCAATTACATTCAAGGAAAGTATAGCTAAGTTGTTGGCGTTAAAAGCATCATTATGGAGGTGTTAGTGCTCTATCACCTTATGTAAGAGCCCACCTAATCACCTTCTTAATGGGAATTTCGTTTTAAAAATATAGAGATTCAATAGTGCCTTTGCTCAAAATTCAAATTTTAGAGAAATGCCTTTTTAATATAATTTAATTTAGTTAAATCATTTTATTCTCATTTTATCCTTTTATTATGTTGATCATGCATCATATATAATAATGTAAATTATTATGTTTGCTCCCATCTTCTTATTTTATTTCTTTTAAGTTTTAAGATATTATTATTAGTTTTTCTTTTTCATTAAATGGAAGAAAATCACCCTTACTATAGTCTTGTTCATTTGCTTTGGGCATATAGTTTTAATTTTTTTCGTATATACATTTTGTAATAATCTATTTTTATCTTATTTTGTTTATCGAATTTATCATGCGATGCATGACTTCTTAGGGTCTAGGTTTTCTCTAATGTAGAACTATGATGAGATGTATAAAAATATACACATGATAGATCCAAATTTGCTGTCCACTAGGCAAAAAACTTATCTCTTTTGATAAAATTTAGAAAATATATAAAATTTTCTCTAAACGATATTTTAATGACCATAAAAAACTAAAATTATACAAAAAAATGAGATCTAAATGAAAATGCAATTGCAAAATTGTAAAAAAAGTATCAAAGAGCACTTTAAATGCATTGCATGTCATGGCAAATGAACTATAGGGACCAAAACTAAACATAAAATTGCAAAACGGGACAATGGGAAACTTGGGCCTACAAGCATAAACTTGACCTCTTATTTATTTTTCAGAACATTCGAAACTATGAACTACAACTACATATAAAAAATGATCAAAGGAAATAATTTTCTTAAATGCGAGAGCATCACTCCCTATGGGGTATACTTGGACAAAAATATAAAATGCAAGCAAAAAAATGCATTATTTTAAATGCACAATTAGAATCAAGATTGTCAATATTACCAATTAATTTGCAATGTATATATGCAAGCAAATAAAAGATGATCCTTAAAATTCTCAAAATGAAATATTGTATGCATTGTAATGAAATTTGTGTAATTTTAAATTACAAACACATCTCAATACAATTTTCAAGTTGAATTATAATATCTTGAAGAACATGGAAAATCGTCATGCAAATAAATTGAAAGACATGTAAGTGCATCATGCAAATGTGATGGGAATCAGAAAGATTTAAACTCAATGGAGAACACAAAAGAAAGTAGGACACGTCTCAATACAAAACTTAGTAAGCAAATCACCAAATAAATATGAAACAAATTGAAATTGTTTTTTTAGAAGAAAAAAAACTAAAAAGAAAATACCCTCAGAACAACCAACTAGTGGTCACCTCACATGTAACGATAAAATAAGGTAAATAGAATGCTCAATGACATGCACTAGTGGTCCACCACAACAACTTTGATCTAACGTCCGCCACAACTCCTCTGGCAAATACCAACAAAACTAACCAACCAACACCACTCACACTTTTAGAAGAAGAATATAATGGGGTGGAAACTTGTGGAGAGAAAAATTAGATAGAAGACATAGAAGGAGAAATAAGTAGAGAAGAAGTAGCTCTCAAGCTAGAGAAGAAACCCTCAGGTTTTAGAATTCTTTTCACTTTCAAAAACTCCCTACAACAGCCCAAAACACCTCCTTAAATAGGAAAGAAAAGGAGGCCAATAGCCAGCCACAATTGCCCATACAGCCAACCAAAAAAGGGAAGAAAAAAGCTGCCATTAAGGCCTGACTGAAGCCCAAAATCCGAACCACCACAGCCAGAAAATTCAGGAAAGCCAGGGAACAACAACAGGACCCAAACATCCAGGGAATCGGGAAAGCCATGGAACAACAACAAGACCCGAATAGCCAGGCCAAGGAAATCAGAAAGCCACAGAAGCCGAACAACCACAAACCAGACGGCAACCCATCCGCCCCCCATCGAACCCTAATCAGCCCAAACTCAAAGCACCCAAAGAAGCTAGCATACCAAAGGAATAACATGTTCAATGAGCACCTAAACCACACATGTTCATTGGTTGAATTCCATCATCGGGTGAACAAAAATTAAACTAAAAAGTTACAATAACATAAAATAAATGTATCTTAAAACATAAGCATGAAGCATTAAATGCATCAATTCCCCCCAGATGGGAGAATCTCATCTCTTGATGAGAATGCTTCACTAATGCGTTGAGAAATATCAGTATGATGAGATTGAAGTTCCACTACTTCAACCCAAGTACAATCAGTCAACAACGGATGTTCATTATATTTTACCAGGAATTGCCTGTGCACTCCATGCCTGGTCTGAGTAGTCCAAATGTCCAAAACATCTTCAATATGATCATCTTTGGTCTGAACTTGAATGGTAACCAGTAAGGTCTCTAAATCCATAGAATCAGCTGGATTTCCTTCATATAAAGTAAGGTTAGCAACATTAAACTCTAGTTAGGCATTTATTCCCAATTTTTGAAATATCTGAAAAGGCCCAAATTTTTTTCGGCTTAACTTGCCAAAAGTTCCAATAGGAAAGCATTGTCGTCGAAAATAAGCCATAATTAGATCACCCTCTTGAAATTAACACTCTCTCTGATGTTTGTCAGCAACAGTTTTGTATTTAGTATTTACCATTCAGAGTTTTTTTAGGACCTGATGTTGGATCGATTTAATTTGATCAACAATTTCTGTAGCTTCACCACTGATTTTTATTAGGCATGGGCAAACAAGTTTGGTCTAAAATATGAGGAATAGGCTGGCCATAAATGATTTCAAAAGGGGGTTTTCTAGTAGTCGGTTAATATAGTAGTTGTAAGCAAATTTGGTTTGGGGTAAAATCAAATCCCATTGAGAAGGGTTCCCACCAGCAAGATATCTAAGCAAGTTTCCTAAACTTCTGTTGACAACTTCAGTTTGCCTATCTGTTTGTGGGTGATATGCACTACTGAATTGGAGAGAAGTCCTTAATTTTGACCAAAGTGTTCTCCAAAAATGGCTTAAAAATCTAGTATCCCTATCAGAGGTGAAAGTCCTAGGTATGCCATGAAGTATCACAATTTCTTTAAAAAATAAATCCTGCAACATGTGAAGTATCAGAGATTTTTTTACATGGAATGAAATGTGCCATTTTGCTAAATAGATCAACAACAACAAACACAGAGTCAAATTTTCGAGTATTAATAGCAGTCCTAAAATGAAGTCAATGGAGATATCCTCCCAAGGTTTATTCGGAATTAGAAGAGGAGTATATAAACAGTGTTTTGAGTTGTTCCCTTGAAAGATTGACAGATTTTATATTGTTTTACAAATTTGATGATTAGCAGTGAAGGAAGGTTTGTGTATTATAAAAGAATGAAAAGTATTCAAGATATTGAAATTTCATTTGATGAAATATGATAATTATGAAAGATATTAAATTTAATTTTATTTAAAACTCTATGTAGTTTGGCCACAAAGTTAATTTTGTAATATTAATAGTATAATTTAAAGTTGTAAACTAAATAAAGTTCAAGACTCCTTGTTATATTCTTGAATTTGAGAAATTTTTTCGGAATAACATTCTAAACATGTACTTAGAGAATTCATGGGTTAACAATTGTTTATATATTTGAATAAAATAAAGGATTAATTTAGTATGATTTATATTATTGAGTGGAAGTACAAATATTATTATTATAAATAAAACAAGCAAATTATAGTTAAGAGAATGTGTGTTATGTTTTGTATGATTTAAATGAAATTGTAAAGTTAAATACCTAATGGTAGTGAATGTTAAAGCTTAAGTTAGAGATTCTAAAGGTCAACTATAATTTATAAATTAAAAAAAAAAATTGAACATGATTTATATAGTTGAATAAAAAGTAAACTGGTATAAAATAATAAATATTGATAAATAATGATGTATAAATAAACTAATATAATAAAGAAAGGTATATGATTAAAAGATAAATTTTTAGGAATCAATCATTGTGAATGTCTTATCTATAATTATATTTTTTGTTATAAATATTAAACTAAAGAAGGCATAATTCAAGGATTAAGGGACATATTAAGTCTTCTATGGTTAAGGAGGGTAGTTCTATTTCTACGTTATAGTAATGATGCTTGTTTTTCTAAATCTAATGCAATTCTTGTTATGCTGTCTTTT